CAATATTTACCGGCACTACCACCGGTCAAGCGACGCACTCTCACGTGTCAGCTGTTCCTATAGATTCACGAAGCGGTTCAGGTGGCATTTGTACTCCCAGCGACACGCTCTCTCAACAAACACTGCACCCTCCCAGAGAGTCGCTATCGAGCAGCTCTACGGGCCGTGATCACCATACAAGTGAAAGCCAGAGCGGCGAAAACGCTGCTGGTTCTGCGCCCACACTAGCTGGCGCTGCGGGTACCACAACTACTGGATCTAACCATGGCACCATCGCTTCTGCGCTTCCTCCGGGAGTGATGTCACAACTCTCGCACTCCCAATCATTGCAACAAGCGCCATTCAAGGCACAGCCACCTAAGCTACGTTTCGTATCTTCGGTGGAGTTCAGACACTCGTCTGGGGAGACATCCACAACACCACTTTCTCCAGAAAGCCCTGCAGAAGATAGTTCCGGTGATCATACGCGCTCACGCTTGCAACGCTCAAAAGCATCAAGCCGCAAAACATTCCGTTTGAGGCGTAGCCGCCTCACGTCCATGGAGCCACCTAGCATTGTGAGTATTGGTATTTTTCGTCATGGTTTTTCTAAATTTGTCGTTCTTACTTGTTAGGTTACGCAAATTTCACAGGAGGAGCATCCAAAGACTATAGGCGAGATATCATGGGATTCGGTGTCACAAACTTCCTCCACATCTGGTTATCGTGACAACAACAGCTTGCAAACCGGTTTGCTTTCGCCGGATGGCTCCTTGGGTGGCATGACACTAGGACGGTCGCCATCTCAGCACTCGTTGCTAATGGTATTCGAGGGTCATGATGAGGACACGCTTATTTAACAATCACAGTCTAGCCCGACGCAGACTGAGGAATGATGTGATAGCCCAAAAGATTACAATAGGAGGAGGTCAAGATGGTAGCAATAAGAAAATCGAAACTGTTCTTCGTCGGCTGCGTTTATGTAATTTCCATTACAAAATATTTGTAATTTGTTAACAGTACTCTTAAGTACAATCTTACGATATTTATATAGAATCGATGTTTTAAAAAAATAGTGTAGCTAATAGGTAAGATTCTCGTTGCGTAATGTAACGATTATAAAACTATTGCGATTAAAATGTGCCAATAAGACAAGACTAAAAACAGATTTTTCTTACTAAATGAGGAGCATTATGAGCTTGAGCTTGCTTTGGTCGCAGACGCTTTCGCGCGATTTTCTTTGACAATTTTGCGCCATTCTAACCATTTAGCCACATCTGGATTTTCGGTATTACCGCGTTCCTCCAGCTGTAGATAATAAGCTTCGC